TATTTTCCTGGTTCTTCGCAGCCAGTTCTTGCAATTGCTTCTCTAAAGCTTCTTTAGCTTCATCTTCGTCATTGAACTTTTTCAAGCAGTGTTTGCCAGGCCGATCAAGCTTCAGGAAATCGTCATAGCTTTCTAATAGACCTGCTTCATATTTGTTAGTCCAAAGATAAAACTTCCTGCTGGCCATAGCTATAGATTAGAGCATGATCAAAATTTAGCCGAGAGTAATCTCAGTAGACCTCATGCATCCGTCCGTCGTATTGGCGTATTTTAACATTTTCTATCCCAAGGGCGGATCCAGGGGGAGGGTCGGGGGGGTCGCGACCCCCCCTGTCATTCCTGAGGTCAAATGGGCTTCCTGTGGTAAAAATGCGACTGGGATTCCTTTGCCCACAAAATTTACCCTTGAGACCCCCCCTTCAAAAAAACCCTGGATCCGCCCTTGTATCCTCGTGGAATTGAACTCTACTTTAATCCAAAAACTGTGCAGAAATTTTCCATTGTTTGGTACACGAATATACACTTGCTGGGCACTTGCTGGGCTGGGCTGGGCTGGGCTGGGCTGTATTTCAATAACTTTTTTACAACCCCCAGGTAGAACAGCGTACAAGGCGTTCTCTGAATGGCACGTTAGCAGCGGACGAGAAGGCACTTACGTAGAGACTCCATTAGAAACACCACTATGCAACCCATCTTGCTGTTCATCGCTATGTACGAAATGCCGTGAGCACCAAACCACTACCACAACAAAGAGATCATATAAACGTAGTGACTATGCTGTCCGTGGTAAGCCTGTGCTAGACTTAAGTGCAGTGATATGCCTCTATTAAGTAAACATTAGTTCGTGACCCCATGGACTACTTGGACGATACGCCGGCCATCTTGCAAGCGGGCAAATGACGGATGACGGATAATAAATAGATTTTCGAGTGTTTGTCTATAGGTAAAGGTGATCGATGTGCCGCCTTAATTCATGTTTTTTTTGTTTTTGTTTTTTGTTTGTTTTGTTTTTTGTTTTCCTTTGTGGTGAGCTATTAATATCAATCGACTTCATTACTGTAACAAAGCTCTATCTGTCCCATTGGACGCCCCATAATGCATTACGATTCAATATGGCCGGTCGAAGTAGTCCATCCCCCGCTGTAGTGCCCACTGTAGTTACATTTTCTGGTGGGGTTGGGGCTTGAGTGGAAACGTTTTAACAGTCTGCTTTAAGTCTTACATTCTACTGAAACGATTATTCATCTTAGGCTTAGCGAATATAGTGAATGCAGATTTACCTCGATATGTTTTTTTTTAATTCTTAATTTTTAACTTTATTTCAGCATCTTCGACGGGTCTGTCAACGATTTACTGCACATGGCTCGTCATATGGGGTTTTATTCTTCACATGTTGCTCTACTCCTGATATTATCCGTAGGCTGCAAGCCCTGGTTACCTTTATTTTATCTGAGCAAATAATGTGTTGCGTTACATCTCACCACAGGAAGCCCAATCCTGGATAAGCTCTTGCCCCACAAGTGCTACACACTAGTTGCTTCCACTATATTTTTTGCTAAAGTATTTTCTTTTATCACTTCTCTTTAAGTTCGATCGGATTCTATTATATATATTTTTTTATAAAACTCAAATACGAAGATCATTAATTTAAAATTTTATTCAGCCGCTAGAATTAACAATGCGCGGGCTCACAATATCGCGGGCTTCAAATGGTCAGCGGAAAAATCGGGTTAGCAGCAGTTTACGTAGTTTCTATGGCAACCATCCCTTTTGTTCTGCAATTTTGCCAAACATTCACAAATCCACTTGATTATACATTCTATAAAGACTCAATCAACGGATATGAAAGGAATGAGCTGAGAATAGACACAGTATTAATATATGGATTGGATCCACCTCAAGATCTGTCATTAACCAGGACCGCCTCAGCCTCCAGTATCATTAAAATGTCCTGGAAACAAGGACATTTCTTTGCCGATTCGTGATTGGTCGATCGTGTGTAGCCAATGAAATTCTTTGTTATATACTGGCAAATCAGAAGAGATGCGATGGACTATCCCTTCAAGGGTTACTTATTCTAGATCTATGCATTTGTATTAAAAAGATATTCAAAGAAAATGTTCGAAAAGAAAATATACGAAAAGAAAACTGAAATGTAGCGAGTAGCTATCCTGAGTACCAATCAGTTGGTAGGAATGCTATTGCACGGCTTTACTATCATTTGAAGAGACGCTTACCACATCTCACTTTCTTAAGTATGATTTGCGGGAATCCCTCGGGAAAAGATCGGGATCGTGTTTGGCATGGATTAAAGAAAAAGACTGTATCTTAGTCCAAAGTAGAAACTGACTCCTTTTGCTTTCATAGACCCTTATAAAATACCGTAATCCTATTCAGATCGTGACTAAGCCTCCTTTGAATGCACGTAAAACAAAGGACACGTTATAGTAGCCCATTGTTGTACTGCATCATTGTGGAGCTAGTTATGTATCTGCATATTAGTAGTATTTTTATGCAAAGGTTTTACAACGTTACTATCATATCCTGACTATACAAATGCTTTCTATTTGGTCAGTTAATCGCCGTATGGATATCCTGGGTTCTGGTATCCAGGGTACCGTATGGAAAGTGGTCAGTCAGTAGGTATTCGTTGAGTTCTGTCTCAAATGTAATGATCATATTATTTTCCAGAAAATCTATTAAATTTCATTCATTTTTTGGAATAATATCCATGTAAATATATAAATAAAGCTAAATTTGAGAACGAAGAAATGAGTAGATATTTTTTATGAATTTGCGCAAATTATTCCAATGAGAGACCTTTAATCACCATTTCCGATATTAGACCCCATAAAATTAAGAATACATCAAGAGAAATAAATGTATGAAATCAAATGTTGTTTAAGACCACATACTCATTTACACAGGCTTAGGATAGGATGTGGATTCGCCCAGACTCAGTTTATTTCTTGGTGCAGATCAAAATTATTGTGGGTTATGAAAACGAAAAAGCAAAACAAATCATACGATGACGCTTATATTCAAAAACGGCGCCCGAATGCTGCGTCTATTGAAGATGCGAATCAAGGAAAATGAAAAAGCAAAATGAAAAAATCCTTCGAGCCGGATTTGAACCAGCGACCTAGGGATATCTTTGGATCTTCTACAGTCCCCCGCTCTGCCAACTGAGCTATCGAAGGATCTCTATATGTTCAACTATCGGTCAAGCAGTTGGCATGACCACCACTCTATAACTAAATCTAAAAAGAAAACGAACCGGCGACCGCGAAAGAAAAATGTGCCATTTAGCCAGAATATTCATATAGAGATACATCCACGATGAAAAGAAGTTGTGTGCGCAGAAATTCCCAGTAACAAGAAAACTAACGCAGGAATTTAGGTGTTTTGTTGAAATTAAAGACAGTAAGTGTAACTACGCATCTTATGCGAAAAAAGGTCAAGTAAAATGATATCCTTCGAGCCGGATTTGAACCAGCGACCTAGGGATATCTTTAGATCCGCCTCTACAGTCCCCCGCTCTGCCAACTGAGCTATCGAAGGATGCCATAATCAGCTATAGGCTAAGTACGACCACCTCCGTTAAATCTAATAAATTGAAAGTGAAAGTGAAAGACAAACAACAACAACAACAACAACAACAAACAAACAAAAGACAAAAACAAAACAAAACAAAGCAAAGCAAAACACAACAACAAAAACAAAACAGAACAACAAAAACGAAACGAAAAACGAACGAACAAAAGAAAGTGCACTAAGCCATCCATAAGGACAAGGTATAGTCGTGAAATTCCAGTAAAACACATTTTACTTGTGGATCAGTTGGCAAATCTCATTTGTCATATNATCCTTCGAGCCGGATTTGAACCAGCGACCTAGGGATATCTTTGGATCTTCTACAGTCCCCCGCTCTGCCAACTGAGCTATCGAAGGATCTCTATATGTTCAACTATCGGTCAAGCAGTTGGCATGACCACCACTCTATAACTAAATCTAAAAAGAAAACGAACCGGCGACCGCGAAAGAAAAATGTGCCATTTAGCCAGAATATTCATATAGAGATACATCCACGATGAAAAGAAGTTGTGTGCGCAGAAATTCCCAGTAACAAGAAAACTAACGCAGGAATTTAGGTGTTTTGTTGAAATTAAAGACAGTAAGTGTAACTACGCATCTTATGCGAAAAAAGGTCAAGTAAAATGATATCCTTCGAGCCGGATTTGAACCAGCGACCTAGGGATATCTTTGGATCTTCTACAGTCCCCCGCTCTGCCAACTGAGCTATCGAAGGATGCCATAATCAGCTATAGGCTAAGTACGACCACCTCCGTTAAATCTAATAAATTGAAAGTGAAAGTGAAAGACAAACAACAACAACAACAACAACAACAAACAAACAAAAGACAAAAACAAAACAAAACAAAGCAAAGCAAAACACAACAACAAAAACAAAACAGAACAACAAAAACGAAACGAAAAACGAACGAACAAAAGAAAGTGCACTAAGCCATCCATAAGGACAAGGTATAGTCGTGAAATTCCAGTAAAACACATTTTACTTGTGGATCAGTTGGCAAATCTCATTTGTCATATGAAGGTAATAATATAAGTGATTTGTATATTTTGTATATTTGCAATACCTATATGGATCTAATTGGATATCTTGGAAATTATATTAAGTTTGATTTTTAGAATATTTTTAATTTTTTGGAATTGAAAATAGAAAATATTCTAAAAAATAAACTTAAAATAATTTCCAAGATATCCAATTAGATCCATATAGGCATTGTAAATATGAATAGTAATCTGCATTTTCATGACTTTTAAAGATGTTTCGGTACGTTTACAAACGGCTTGTTTAAAAATCCAAGATGGCGGCCTTGTGGTCACGTGACTTAGTTTCCATGATAACCAAGGCTCTAAGGTTCCTTCTTTTCACAAAAGACATTAACTTGCCAAGTTTGGGGAAGATTCGTAGAAAACTGGCTATGATATAGCTAATCAGTTTTTCATCTGAGAGCCATGCCTTAATGATGCTGAGAAACAGTTGCTCGAAGCAAAAATCAGGAAATAAACTGTCTGGCTTTAAAATGCACATTGCTTGTAATGGCTTTGCTAATCGATAGTTAAGATAGAGTCTAAATTGATAGTTACACGCCTTTCCCTTGGTTTTCGAGGAAAGGAGCTATGAGAATTGCTGATGTGATTATACCTTGAACTGGTTGCTTTGAACCATAGTTAATGGAGCGGAAGGAAAAGTTGCTCCGTTTGTTCACAGTATTCAGGGCCGTAACCACAACTTTTACAGGGAGGGTGCACATCGAATAAAATCAGACCAATGTTTCTTTCAAGAAAGTAGAACCAAAAAAAAAAAAAAGGTAACCAAGAGAAAGCAGAACCAAAAAAGAAATAAAAAAATATAAAAAAATATAAAAAAGATAACCAAATTAATATTAATTTGGATTAATATTAACTTTTCAATACTTTTATAACGCTGTTTTTATGTACGACTATCATGCAGGGAATCTACCTAATATGTTTGATTCATTCTTTGCTAAAGTCTCCCAGATACATAATCATAATACAAGACTTGCATCAAAGTCGTCATTCTCTCTCCCATGCGTAAGAACCAACTATGGTAAATTYAACATTAGATTTAATGGAGCCAAGGCATGGAATTCAATAGATGAAAATTTGAAAAAACTTAGCAAATTGTCATTCAAAAAAGAATCCAAAAACAGTTTGCTGAGAACTTACTTACAATTAATGATGTACGTTAATGCTATTCTTGCATATTCTTGTATATTTCTATGGTATATTAAGGCTATTCTAGCGATCAATTATACATATATCATACCTAGCTCGTTTACATTATATCTTTTTTTTTT